TTTTTGTTTTTTCATGGTGGGGGTTAAGGGGGAGGCACTGTTTTTGATGATGGTTGCGGTCTGGGGCCGCGCTCCGAAAAACGAACTTGGCAGGAAACCACTGCAGCCCCGACAAAGTCATGCGGACCTTGATTCAGCTCGAAATTCCTGCTATCAAACGCTTTTGGGGCGCATGCGCAGGAAGCAGTGGCCAAATTGTGGCCTTGGCACGGCCGAACTCAAACGAATTGCGCCGCAATCGGAGAAGATCAGAATCGCTGCCGCGCTAGCACTGCGACCAAGTGCACTCGCACGAAGGCCCAGATTGATCAGCGACAAACGCCACGCTACAGGGGGCGCAGCTCCAAATTTCAGGACCCCCCACTAGCGCCACCACCACCGCTACCACCACCACCACCCCCGCCCGCCCCGCCCCGCCACCGCCACCCCGCCCAGCCCACCCGCCACCCACCACCGCCACCGACGCCAACACCCACCACGCCACGCACGCACGCGAGCGCACGCACGTACGCACGCACACACGCGCACGCACGCGCACCAAAAACAGATCCGCCACAAACGCCACTTCCACCGCGCTTAGCGTGTACAGGGATGGCGCCTGGGCGGCGGCTCCAGGGCCCCACTAGCGGAGCCCCGCACGGGGCTTGTCTGTCTGTCTGTCTGTCTGTCACTCTGTCACTCTCTCTCTCTCTCTCTCTCTGTCTGTCTCTATCTCTCTCTCTCTCTCTCTCTCTCGCGCGCGCGTGCATGCCCAACTTGGTCGTCGACGAGCGCCGTGCTGCAGGGGGCGCGCAACTCACTGACCCAGTTCCCTATCCTATTCCACGAAACAACGAACGCCACTTCCACCGCGCTTAGCGCGTACAGGGATGGCGCCTGCGCGGCTGCTCATGGGACTCCACTAGCGGAGCCCCACTAGGGACTCAATTTGTGGACCACCGTTCGATGACCGCGAACTGTGAACTGCTACGCGCCTGGCCCATTCAAGAAAAAACTGTGCCGCTTGTTTGTTTCGTTTGTTGGCGTCGCGTTCATGGCGGGCGCAATTGAGCGCGTTGGAATGCGCGCGCGTACACCGCGGGCGCAGGAAGCACGCGCCCAATTGCGGCATCGTCCAACGCGAAATTCGCCTGGGAGCGGCCGAACTCGCACCAAATTGCGCCGCGCTTGGAAATTATCAGAATCGCAGACGCGCGAGCACTGCGACCGCGCGCGCCCTCACGCAAACCAACATTGGTCATCGACAAATACCATGCTGCAGGGGAAGCAGCTCAACAATTCGACACCGAATTCCCCCCCCCCCCCCCCCGCCCCACGCACGCACACACCACCCAAGCAAGCCCCCAGCCCATCGCAAACGCAACTTGGCGCCTGGGCGGCTGCTCCTGCGACTCCACTAGCGGAGCATCCAACGGGGGCTCGAATCGTTGATTCTCGCGCGATGGCCGCGAGGCGTCAAACTGCGCCCGGGCCATAAAAAAAAGAGAAGCGGCTGCGCCGCTTCTCTTTTTTTTTTGGTGTGGTCTTCATGGTGGGGGGGGCGGCTGCGCCGCTTCTCTCTCTCTCTCTCTCTCTCTCTCTCTCTCTCTCTCTCTCTCTCTCTCTCTCTCTCTCTCTTTTTTTCTCATGGTGGGGGTTAAGGGGGAGGCACTGTTTTTGATGATGGTTGCGGTCTGGGGCCGCGCTCCGAAAAACGAACTTGGCAGGAAACCACTGCAGCCCCAAAAAAGTCATGCCGACCTTGATTCAGCTCGAAATTCCTGCTATCAAACGCTTTTGGGGCGCATGCGCAGGAAGCAGTGGCCAAATTGGGGCCTTGGCACGGCCGAACTCAAACGAATTGCGCCGCAATCGGAGAAGATCAGAATCGCTGCCGCGCTAGCACTGCGACCAAGTGCACTCGCACGAAGGCCCAGATTGATCAGCGACAAACGCCACGCTACAGGGGGCGCAGCTCCAAATTTCAGGACCCCCCACTAGCGCCACCACCACCGCTACCACCACCACCACCCCCGCCCGCCCCGCCCCGCCACCGCCACCCCGCCCAGCCCACCCGCCACCCACCACCGCCACCGACGCCAACACCCACCACGCCACGCACGCACGCGAGCGCACGCACGTACGCACGCACACACGCGCACGCACGCGCACCAAAAACAGATCCGCCACAAACGCCACTTCCACCGCGCTTAGCGTGTACAGGGATGGCGCCTGGGCGGCGGCTCCAGGGCCCCACTAGCGGAGCCCCGCACGGGGCTTGTCTGTCTGTCTGTCTGTCTGTCTGTCACTCTGTCACTCTCTCTCTCTCTCTCTCTCTCTCTCTCTCTCTCTCTCTGTCTGTCTCTATCTCTCTCTCTCTCTCTCGCGCGCGCGTGCATGCCCAACTTGGTCGTCGACGAGCGCCGTGCTGCAGGGGGCGCGCAACTCACTGACCCAGTTCCCTATCCTATTCCACGAAACAACGAACGCCACTTCCACCGCGCTTAGCGCGTACAGGGATGGCGCCTGCGCGGCTGCTCATGGGACTTCACTAGCGGAGCCCCACTAGGGACTCAATTTGTGGACCATCGTTCGATGACCGCGAACTGTGAACTGCTACGCGCCTGGCCCATTCAAGAAAAAACTGTGCCGCTTGTTTGTTTCGTTTGTTGGCGTCGCGTTCATGGCGGGCGCAATTGAGCGCGTTGGAATGCGCGCGCGTACACCGCGGGCGCAGGAAGCACGCGCCCAATTGCGGCATCGTCCAACGCGAAATTCGCCTGGGAGCGGCCGAACTCGCACCAAATTGCGCCGCGCTTGGAAATTATCAGAATCGCAGACGCGCGAGCACTGCGACCGCGCGCGCCCTCACGCAAACCAACATTGGTCATCGACAAATACCATGCTGCAGGGGAAGCAGCTCAACAATTCGACAACCGAATTCTCCCGCCCCCCCCCCGCCCCACGCACACACGCACACCACCCAAGCAAGCCCCCAGCCCATCGCAAACGCAACTTGGCGCCTGGGCGGCTGCTCCTGCGACTCCACTAGCGGAGCATCCAACGGGGGCTCGAATCGTTGATTCTCGCGCGATGGCCGCGAGGCGTCAAACTGCGCCCGGGCCATAAAAAAAGAAAAGCGGCTGCGCCGCTTCTCTCTCTCTCTCTCTCTCTCTCTCTCTCTCTCTCTCTCTCTCTTTTTTTGTTTTGGTGTGGTGTTTATGGTGGGGGGGGGGGCTGCGCCGCTTCTTTTTTTTTCATGGTGGAGGTTAAGGGGGAGGCACTGTTTTTGATGATGGTTGCGGTCTGGTGCCGCGCTCCGAAAAACGAACTTGGCAGGAAACCACTGCCGCCCAAAAAAAGTCATGCCGACCTTGATTCAGCTCGAAATTCCTGCTATCAAGCGCTTTTGGGGCGCATGCAGCGCGCGCGCAGGAGGCAGTGGCCAAATTGGGGCCTTGGCACGGCCGAACTCAAACGAATTGCGCCGCAATCGGAAACGATCAGAATCGCTGCCGCGCTAGCATTGCGACCAAGTGCACTCGCACGAAGGTCCAGATTGATCAGCGACGAACGCCACGCTACAGGGGGCGCAGCTCCAAATTTCAGGACCCCCCACTAGCGCCACCACCACCGCTACCACCACCACCACCCCCGCCCGCCCCGCCCCGCCACCGCCACCCCGCCCAGCCCGCCCACCCACCACCACCGCCACCGACGCCAACACCCACCACGCCACGCACGGACGCGAGCGCACGCACGCACGCACGCACACACGCGCACGCACGCGCACCAAAAACAGATCCGCCACAAACGCCACTTCCACCGCGCTTAGCGTGTACAGGGATGGCGCCTGGGCGGCGGCTCCAGGGCCCCACTAGCGGAGCCCCGCACGGGGCTTGTCTGTCTGTCTGTCTGTCTGTCTGTCTGTCACTCTCTCTCTCTCTCTCTCTCTCTCTCTCTGTCTGTCTCTATCTCTGTCTCTGTCTCTCTCTCTCTCTCTCGCGCGCGTGCATGCCCAACTTGGTCGTCGACGAACGCCGTCTCTGACCCATCACTCAGGCACGGTGGCGGATGGGCCGAAGGCCACTAGATAGTGGCCTTCGGACGGAGTGGTCGATGAGGAATGTGCCAAATTTCAATTCCACCTCTTCCTCACCACAGCCTTCCTTCCCAAGGACGTCCACAGCCTTCCCAAAACACGCTAAGTGAGGCGAACTAGGTTCCACGCTAAGTGTAAGACACTTAGCGTGTATAGACATTTTTCCCAATACACGCTATACATAGATACCTGACCGTATGCTTATGTGAACCACAGAACCTGCGCATTCCACTGTAAACCCGCCATGCCACCGCACCTTTCTCACGCCATCGCAGAGCCCACTGCGACGAAGACGTTGGGTACGGAGCCAACAACATTCCACAAACCTCTGGTGGCTTCAGAAAGTTTTGGGGGGCACGCGAGCGCTGCCCGAAGCCAACTAACACGACGTCGACGAATAGGACATACGACGCGATAGCGAAGAGGACAATGGTTACGACTGCCGCGTGCGCAGCGGCACCTGTGCACAAAAGTGTGCCAACGTGCGCCACACACGGCACTCAGGGGAGCGGAGCGGCAGCAGCAACTGCAACGGCACCAAGAGCGAGAAGCCCTGTGCACCTGTCTGTCATCGGCCCGAAAACCTTCGCCAAAGACTTCCACATCCACACGGGGATCTGAAATCGGCCGCGACGAACACACTACCGAACCCTGCCGAGGCTGTGCTGCCAGTCACTCTCACGCACAGGGGCACACGACGAAGAAGGCAAGACGACTGGCCAACTCGAGTCGGTCTGGACGGCCGAAGGCAAAACTGGAGGGCCACCGCATCCAATCGTGGACAGCCGCACGGGAGGGGACGCCCAGCGACTCGCGAGCGTCGGCTCCGTGCCCGCGACCTCCAGCTCGCAGCGCAGAGCCACGGCTGCAGGGCAGCCGAGGCCCGAGAGAGGAGGCGGGCCGGCGGCAGCGGCTGCTCCTGGGGCAGCACGGCGCCAGCTCCCAGGGTGCCTGCGCAAGCGGCGTGGGCTCCCGATCTCTCCCCTCGCCTCCCCCCCCCCAACCGCCTCGTCCCCCTCCCCCCCGTCCTCCCCCCCCTCGCCACTCGCCCCATTCCCACTCTCGCTCCTCCGTCCCCTCTCCTCCGCCCCTTCTCCTCCTCCTCCTCCTCCCTCCCCCCCACTCCTTCCTGGACCCCCTGCGATCCTCGCGTCCTGAACATCCCTCTGGCGCGGACAGGTGGCCCGACGGTCTGCACAAGGGATAGCTGGGACTGGGAGGCACGGCGAGAGAAGGAGCCGAGGAGGAGGAGGAGGAGGAGGAAAGGGGAGAGGAAAGGGAGGAGGAGGAGGAGGAGGAGGAGGAGGAGGAGGAGGAGGAGGAGGAGGAGGAGGAAGGGGAGGAGGAGGAGGAGGAGAAGGAGGAGGAGAAGGAGGAGGAGGGAGGAGGAAAGGGAGGAGGAGGAGGAGAAGGAGGGAGGAGGAGGGAGAAGGAGGAGGAGAAAGGAGGAGGGAGGAGGAGGAGGGAGGAGGAGGAGGAGCCAGGAGGAGGAGGAGGAGGAGGAGGAGGAGGAGGAGCCCAAAACAGGCAAGCCATCCAAACGCCACAGTGACAGACCCTGATCTGCCTCGACGGGCTCGGCGCCTCCTTGACGGCTCTGCAGCGGCGGGGGGCCACTCCAAGCGCCGGGGGCTCGAGGAGGAGGAGTGCCGAAAGACTGCACCGACGCTCGCGTTGGCCACACCTCGCTCAAGGTACGGCCCGATGACCAAATCGTCGAAATACAAAACGCGTTGTCCCGACTCTGGGGCAACCAAAGCAAACGCATAAGTATGCTGAACATTCTCGGACGCAGCGACGACCACACAGCTGCAAATGTGCGCTGCGCGGAGATTAGGCTGCGCACTCTCAATGTCAGCGGGATTGAACTGCCTACACTGGTCACGTCTGGGGTTGCACATCCAGACGGGGCAAAAAAATCCCCGCAATCAATCATCGCTGCCAGTCCAACTCGGGATCAGGCATCACCGCCATTGACATCAGATTGCAACCACCACTCTCAAAAATGAGGCCCTCATCGTATTGTGCTGAAGAGCATTGGCGCGGATGTGCCAACTCCAGCAGCATGCACTGTCAACGCCCCAACTACGTATCATTTCGTTCCCAGCTGCTACTCCTGGCACAGTGCTGCAGTGTTGGATTGTTCCCCTGATCGAGCCGGAGCCCTTTTCTGTGGCATTCTGAAAGGGACCCAGATAGGTAGAGTAGCAACGATGTTCACCGACTAACGATGGACGTTGCAACGGCTCCCCTCTTAATTTGGAGTTTCCCACGTTTGTAGCTCACGATGAGCCACACGATCAGAGATCTCACGAAGCGATCGGACAGCTTAATAGTCAGCCGCGCATCTACTGCACAATAGCACCGTGTTCTCGAAATCCATGGGCGCTCCGTCCCACCCAGGCATAAACACCGTCAGATCCCAGCCGCATTTGTGCAGTCACCACCGCGTTATACGATGGTCATGTGTCCCAACCTGGTTCAGGAGGGCATCATGGAAGGTCAAGCTCCGGGTGCTAGAGTGCCTGCTGCATGGCGCGACGTCGAGTGGGGACCTGAAAATCCCGCGCGCATGGTGCTCAAAGTGCGGCAAGACCACCATGACGAAGGCGCGACAAATCGGTCAGAAAGGAAGATTGACACTGGCCCCACATGAAGGCTCATGGCGCCAGGGGTGGATGGCGAGCGGGGGTGAACCCAGACCACCGACCCCCTTCTTGCACGTAAAGCCACTGTATCCATGCGCTTCGCTCCAAGCCGTGAGCCGCTGGCGCGTACGGACAGCGTACCTGCCACGTGATCCACCATTGCTGGTTCAAGGTTTGTCCGCGCATTGTCCGCAATATTGTATTCCTCATCATCCTCACCTCGAAGCCTCTCCAATATGTTCCTCATGCTTCCCCTTCCGTCAAAATCGTGACCATCATCACCACCGTCATCGTCATCACCTCAACCATCACCATCATCACTCTCACCTCCGTCCTCATCATTACCATCATCATCCTCACCATCATCACCATCATTGTCATCATCATCACCATCCTCATCACTACCGTCATCCCGTCTGTAGTACAGGGGGCCGATCGTTCTTGTCTCACTCGCAGGTGCTGCGGCACGAGGCGGAGTGCAGCAACATTCGCCGCACTGCACTTCGAGGTCTATGCTGGTGTATCAACCCAATAGTCGGCTCCCCGCCTGTGCCCACATGGACTTGGATTGCTGCTTGACACCCAAGCGACCATATATCACCATCTTCCTGCACTTTGACGAGTTTTTGTTTGGCAGCGGCGGCGCCGGGCAGTCACGGTTCCGGTCTATCCATATGGTGCAACTACGTTGTCTGCCTTTGTCCGCGAACTCAGCTTGGGCGATGCTTATATATTGAGGAGCCAACTCAGCCGTGGCAGCGTCGCGCACCCACCTCTCGGTTTTCTTCTGCTTATGGTGTTCAACTGCAGGCTCCCGCTCGCGGCGTTTCCTACTCGCGGCAATGGCGGCCCCCTACAGGCGGCTGCTTCCAGTGGAAGCGGATACTGGCGGAGGCTCCAACTTGCGGCGGGTTCTGGCGGCGGCCCCCACTTTCGGCAAATCCCTAGGACAGTTACAACTAGCAGTTCCCACTTGCGGCAGCTCCTACTACGCAAGCGATGCGCACTCGCAGCTCCCACTGGCGGCGGCTCTACGCAGGCGGCTCCTACACGCCGGCGGTTTCAGCTGGCCTTCCCGCTGGCGGCGGCTCCTGCGCAGGCGCTCCTTCGCAAGAAGTTTCCACGGGTTTCTCCCACTCGTCGCGGCTCCGAATCAGGCGGTTTCCTACGCCCACTGGCCTTCCCACTGGCGGCGGCTCCAACGCTGGCGGGTCCCACTTGCCCCCCCAGTGACGGCGGTTCCTACGCTGGCGGCTCACGCTCGGCGGCTCCCACGAGCAGTTCCCACGGGCGGTGAATTCTACGCATGCGATTCCTACGCGGACCTCCTCGGCGGCTCCCACGGGCCCTCTGGCAGCGCAGGTGGCTCCCACGCGCGGCGGTTCCTACACGGGCGGCTCCCAGTGGCGGCGGCCCCAACGCAGGCGGGATTCCCACATTTGGGGGACGGCGTACACGTGGCATGTAGTGTCTGGGACAGGTTGCTTCTGTCTCACTCGCAGGTGCTGCTGCACTCGGCAGGGCGCAGCAGCACTCACCGCAGTTCACTGCGAGGTCCAGTCTAGTGCCACACACCAGTGTGGTCGGCTTTCCGCCTGTGCACACGCAGACGTTGATTGCAGTTTGACACTCTCGCGACCATAAGCCACCACCACCACCATCATCCTCGTCATCTTCATCGTCATCGTCATCGTCATCATCATCATCATCATCATCATCATCATCATCATCATCATCAACATCATCATCATCATCATCATCATCATCATCATCATCAACATCAACATCATCATCATCATCATCATCATCACCATCATCATCATCATCATCATCATCATCATCAGCATCAGCATCAGCATCAGCATCAGCAGCATCATCATCATCATCATCATCATCATCGTCATCATCATCACCATCATCAACATCATCAGCATCATAATCATCAGCATCAGTATCCTCATGACCATCATCATTATCAGCAACAGCATCAACATCATCATCAGCAGTAGCATCATCATCAGCAGCAGCATCCTAATAATGATAAGAATCATCATCATCAGCAGCAGCATCATCATCATAATCAGTTACATCATCATTAGAAGCATCCACATCATCATCACCACCATCATCATCATCAGCAGCAGCATTACCATCATCCTCGTCTTCATCATCAGCATCACCACCACCACCATCATCACCCTCATCATCATCCTCAGCAGCAGCATCACCATCACCATCATCCTCATCATCATCCTCATCATCAGCATCAGCATCAGCATCATCATTATCATCATCATAACCAGCATCACCATCACCATCACCATCACCATCACCATCACCATCATCATCATCATCATCATCATCAGCATCCTCATCATCATCGTCAGCACCATCTTCATCGCCGTCCTCAACGTCTCCGCCACCCTTATCATCATCACCATCATCAACAACAACCAACGAAGGTCCAAGCATCATCATCACCATCAGAATCACCATCATCGTAATCATCATCGTCGTCGTCACCATCATCATCATCATCCGCAGCAGCATCACCACCATCATCGTCATCAGCATCATCAGCACCATTATCATCAGTATCATCATCAGCATCGTCGTCGTCGCAATCAGCACTACCCCCGCCACCATCATCAACAACAGCAAACAACAACAACAATAACACCAACAACTACAACAACTGCAACAACAACAACAACAACAAGAACTCGCTCTCATCTGCTCACGTGTCACTCAACACGTCTATCCTAGACCCTCGGCACCCGCCCTCTTCGTCTTCAGTTGTACCCCCTTACCGATCACGCATAGTCCCTATAACAGGGGAAGAGAGGACGGATGGAAGGAGGAGGGAGAAGGATGGAGCACGAGAGAAATTAGCAGGAGGGGAGCTAGGAGCAGAAAACACGTGGCAGAACCAGACGGGCAGATCGGGCGGGCAGGCCCTAGCGGGCGGGTCAGGAAGGCGGGCCCAGGCGGCCAGGTCGAAAGGCAGGTTGCTGAGGCGTGATTCCTGCATGAATCGCGAGGAAGTTCCGAGCAATAGCGCGGTTCCCAAGTAAATCGTGAGAAAAGCCAGAGCGAGAGCGTGCTTCTTGAGTGTCGAAGGCGCGGCGTCAATTGTGAAGAAGTCCCACACGAGAGTGCGATTCCTGCATAAATTGTAACAAAGTCCTGCGCGAGAGCGCGATTTCGGCACAACCTGTAAGGAAATATCAGCGGGAGCCGTTGTTGTCATAGCCCGGGGGCGAATGGCATAGTTTGAGCAGGAAGACTCTCCCTGGTGCGAGCCCCGAGGGGGGCACTTTAATTGAAGATCACCATGTGTACCAGTGAGGGGGGATCAACAGTAATCATTCTTCAAGAATGAAGGTTCAGCAGCAACATCATCCTTGCCCTCCTCCTCCATATCCTCCTCCTCCTCCTCCTCGTCCTCGCCCTCCTTCGCATCCTTCTCCTCCTCCTCCTCCTCCTCCTCCTCCTCCTCCTCATTATTCTCCTTAAGGGCAGTGCGGAACATGTAGGGGAGTTCGGATAAGAAGGCGCGTAAAATGTGGGTGCGCATTTCCTGCATGACCGCCCTCCTCCTCCTCCTCCTCCTCCTCCTCCTCCTCCTCCTCTTCCTCCTCCTCCTTCTCCTCCTCCCTCTTCCCACCCACCCTCCACCGCACCCCTCCGCTTTCCCGGCCCAGCCCCTGGAAGGAGCAAGGGCTGATACACCCAAGGTCACGGCCGTCACAACCGCCGCCATCACCTCCTCCCAAGCCCACTCCACTTGTGCCCCTCGGTCCTCTCTGCCCCTCCCTCCCCCGACCCGTTGCTGTCTTTCAGAGCGTGGACCCCTGGACCTCTCGGCACCCCCCCTGCGGGCTGGTAGTAAAACCCCACAAGAGGCCGAAAATTACAAGACAATGCAAAAATATCGTGTCTCTTCCACGGCGAGGGGGTGGGAGTCCTTCCTCTGCCCTTCCTCCTTTTGCCCCCCTTCCTCCCGCCGCGTAGCAGCGGTTGGAAGTGATGTTAGCGACAAGTATCCGCAACCAGCATCGGTCTGTGGCGTTGGCGGTGGCATGGCAAGATCCTCACGGCAGCCCAAGTGGTGGATCACCACTGCCGAACTGGTCGCATCGGGGCATCGGGGGGCACGCTAGCAGCGTGTAGTCCGGTAATCGAGCCGTGATGGATGATGAGTGATGGATTGGTACGCCGACTCACAGTACAATAGGTTGCAGCGTCGACGTGCGGGCATCGAGTTCGTCAGAAGCCTCTGGGCACTGTTCTGCGCGCAGCGAACTGTGCCATTGAGACAGAGGCTCTTTTCAGCTGTTCCAGGGAGCGCGAAGATGTGCTTCGCAACCCAACGACGCTGACAAGACCACAAAAACAGAAACAAAGGCACTGGGAGGGCGCCCTGTACCATGAGCAGAACGCGGCCCGACAGACTACGAGAGAAAGCTTACGTGAGATCGAACGCAGAAAGCCGAACGCTAGCGAAAAACTACAGGCTCGAGTCAAAGAAGCCTGAGGGAAGCAAGTTCATCACTATTGGAAGTCCGAATTGTGAAGGGGGCCGGAAACCTGGGCTGGCTGCTAAACGCCCAACGCCTGGCTGGATCAGAACAAACGACGCGCAGTCCGCGTAGTCTCGTTCGACCGGGATACAAAGAAACCGACGGTTGTCTTGAGATTTCGACAACTGCGCGCCCGAAAAACATCTGACACACTGGTGTCGCAGACCATTGCCTTGCTAATGTGCTGGAGGGGCTGTATAGCGAGGCGGCCCCTGCCACCCCTCGTCGACCCTCTCGGCCTTACCACCTCCGCCCCACCCCCTCCCTCCCTCCGTGCGCCTTCCCTCCAGACCCAGCGCGCCTGCCGCGGCGCTGCTGGCCGCAGCCACGGCGGGGGCGCCTCCCGAGCGAAGCGGACATTCGCACAACTTGGGCGTCACTGCCGCGAAATGGCTCTCATTGGATAACACACACAAACACACGCACGAACGCACGCACGCACGCAGGCACACACACACACACACACACACACATTCACACACACATAATTTATATATACACATTTTTAACATAATAATAATAATAATGATGATGATAATAATAGGGAAGAAACATACACACACAAAAAGTTTGTGAGTCGGCGGCTAGGCAGAGTGACTGCGTTGGCGACTAGGCACCCACACACACACATTTTTGGCGTCGCGGCCCCGCGCGCAGCGACAGGGCGTCGAAAGGTCAGAGACGAAGGCGCGCGCGCGCGCGTCGAGAGGCCGAACCCGCAATCCGCTCAGAACGAGCAGCGCCGCGGCCAGCCATAAGTCATCCAGGCATGGATGACAGGGGGTCCGACGAGGTAAGCAGGTAGACGACCAGCAAACGACATATCGAGAGGGCACAAGTGGGCACGGTGAAAAACTGGGGCGGGACAAGGTTCAAGGAGGCCGAAGGTCCGCCGCGGCGGCGTGGGCACCGCAGAAGCTGCCCCGAGGAGGCCCAGCAACGCCGGCAAGCCCGCTGGGGCGCCAGAGTCGGCCGTGAAAACCAGCCAAAAGGAGGGGTGCGGCGGGGCCGAAGGCACTGACGCGCTTTGCTGTTTTTCGCGTCGGCGGCTACGGAGGGCAACTGCGCTGGCGGAGGGCTACCTAAAGGGGGGGGCCGTAGTAGCGACTTGTGCCAACATGCAAAGAGAAGGGGACAGGAGAGAAGAAACAGCCGAAGAAGGGGGCAGGAGGGAAGCGATGCCGCTCAGAGGGACGGATCACGCCCGGAGCGCGTGGCGCGGCCGGCCCCGTTGGCGGGCCCGCGGCGGCTGCTGCACCAGGGGGTCGGCGGCGGCGGGGCGACACACACACACACAATTCCCATGTCGGAGTACCTTTCGTCAACCCGAGACTCCTGCTGTAGCGCTACTGATAACGAGGCGTCGAAACCGTCGGCGGGCACGTATTTGGCGAAGCTGCTGGTGCAGTAGACGCTTGCCAAGGAGGAGGGCCTGGTGGGGAAGCGCAACACACCCCACTCGCAGCGCGACCTGCACGCCCCAGGCTCGGTTCGCCACGAATGTTACTACACCCCGCCGCGTGTGGCATGCCAGCCGGCCTCACCTACCGGCCCTCTAAGACGGGACGATGACGCACGGTGCGCACGCACTGCACGCACCCGCTCTACTGCGCACGCGGGCCAATCGAACTAGGCCCTTACACACACACACACACACACACACACACACACGCACACGCACACGCACACGCACACGCACACGCACACGCACACACACACAGAGCAAGTTCGAAGACATTCGACGATAGACGGGAAGAGAGGGCAAGGACAAGGACGACGGCGAACGGACCACAGGGGTGGATCCATACATATCGATGTGTATTTACATATGCACAAATATACAGATATACAAAAATATAGACATACATACATACATACATGCATGCATGCATGCATGCATGCATACATACATACATACATACATACATGCATGCATACATACATACATACGTACATACATACATACATACATGCATACATACATATATACATACATACATGTAGAAATGCATACATACATGCATGTATATATTCATACATGCATACATGCGTACATACTTGCATGCATACATACTGTGCTCCGAGCATATACATACATACATGCGTGCATGCATTCGTGCTTACCTACCATCATGTATACACATGTCTAAGCACGGGAAGGATAGCCACCGAGAGAGGGACATATACATGCCTATACATAGATGCACAAATATACAACTATACAAGTATGCCTAGACAGAGATAGAGAAGAAGAAAGAGAGGGACATACTCTATGTGTAAAGAGAAAAGCGACTAGACAGGACACAAAAAACCATATATATATATATGAGAGAGAGGAGGAGAGGCAGAGAGAGAGAGAGACCGGCAAGGAGATAGGACATAAAAGGAGAGGGAGGCGGAGAGAGGGAGAGAAAAACAATCGACGTTAAGGTTTCCGTTCAAATATAATCGGTGCTGCATGCTGAAAGCGTATGGTAAGAAATGCGATGCATGTGTGAGGGAAGTTCTGGGTCCGTCGTCCTTGGGCAGTCCTCGAAGATGATATTTTATGCGATGTCCTCGTCTAGTCCGCGAATATTTCCCGAGACCCTCTATGGCGCGCCAAGCTCGTCAACTAGAAGAGACTCGGACCAGGTCGCAATCGCAATCGTAGTTAGTTCGTTCCGCTTGGATCCTTTACCCATCCGGGGGGGGAGGTCCTGGGTCAGAATGCACTCCCCTCGTTCCCTTTTGCGGGGGGGCCTTCGGAATTTCTTTCCAAGACAACCCACCGGGAGCCCAAGGAAGCCTAGAGAGTCGTCCAAAAGATCGCTCCAAGCCGCCCAAGTTAGCCTCCAGACGGCTTAAGGCGCGTCCACTACGCCCAAAAAAAAATTGGCAAGCACTCCCACGAGGGCCCCAAGACACACACAATTTGCTGAATCCCCTGAGGCTTGGAAAAGGTTCGCGTAGCTCCCTTTTCGGTTTCCCGACGTTCCCATGGGGCCCACGAAGCCCAAAAGATTGTCTCTAAACTGCTTACGAGGCCCTCCAGGGGACGCCGCGACGATCTAAAATTACCCGAAGCGTAACCTCCGCTTCTGCACGCGAGGCGAATATTTACATGAACGCTCTATACAAGAAAACAACCAGATCGCCAGATGTGCACGATCTGCGTTGTCCTCACCTCCCCCGTGTTTCCCACGAGCCCACGAAATCGGCGACAGTTGCGCAATTCGCAACACCCGAGGGAGACGCGAGGTCTCAACTGGATCTGCGCTGCCCGAAACTCTGCCGTGCCGCCCAGGAGCTTGCGAAAAATTGGAAAGAACCGAGGGTAGATTGCACATGGGGGAGATTGGACTGCGTCCTTAGCAAGGCTGTACAAGACTTGTCATTGCGTATCAACGAATCAATGTTTAACAAGCCGTATCAGGGCAACAGGGATTTACAAACATAGAACTAGCAAGGCTGTTCCAGGCTTGCTATCAAGGCTTGTCGATGCTTCAAGGTTAACAACCAGTGTTTCCCACGCTCAACTTATAGCTCCCCCCCCCCCAACGCGCGCGCCGCAATATGTAATGTGTACTGATTCAAAAATAGCATGAGATGTAGAGGCCGAGAAAAGAAATTCAGGCTGAATGGTTCGCCTCGCTCTGCACTGAAACCGGCCTTGCGTAGCAAGAACCACCAATCGACATCGTGGAAGGCATTCAAGTCCACTCCGTTTTCGCGCAGCTGTCGTAGGCCCGCGTCGAACCTGACGAACCAGTCGGTCACGCGTTCACCACGGCGCCCGTGGCGAATCGTAGTTTCAAGCTTCTCGGGCGCCCCGCTCTTCTGAACCAGCATCTGCTGGCCCAGGCTCTCCTCTGGATGCTGCAGGACGCTCCCGAAGGCCTGCTCAATCCCAAGTTTTACTCTCGTTGGCGTCGTCGATGCCATCCTCGGCTGCTGGATGAAGCATGTCGGTATCCATGCTGATCGCACCGGCAGGCGCGATGCCTGTGAGCTTGAGCACTAGTTTGGACGCTACGCGTCGATCTACCTCCAGGTGATCGCTAAGCTCCAAGAGCTTGACTTCTTGTTCGTAATCCCGCCATTTCGCAAAATCCATTCCAGATTGGTAGACTAGGCCTCTCATTGTCATCATTGAAATCCATCATCGTGCCGATCGTGCCGCTGGACACGGATGAGGGCACAAGAAGGGATGCGGCGCTCTCGGCGTCGCTGTTCGTCGTTGCGAGTAGAATGAAGAGCTGGTGATTGTAGTTATCGTCGCCGGCTTCGCTGACGTTGTAGTAGAGATCGTAAGCGTACTTCTCGTCGGCGGCTTCGTGGACGCGTGAGGAAAGATGGTAGGCGATGATGTCGTCGGTGGCGTCGCTGACGTTGGAGAAAAGCTAGTAGGAGTAGTTGTCGTCGGCGGCCTCGCTGACGTGGGAGAAGATTTGATAGGCGTAGTTGTCGTCGGCAGTCTCGCAGACGTGGGAAAAGAACTGGTAAGAATAAGTGTCGTCGGCGGCTTCGCTGACGTGGGAGTACGGATGGTAGGCGTAGATGGGCTCGTCGGCGGCGTCACTCACGTGGGGGAGAAGCTGCGGCAACAGCGACAGGAAGACGCTGGTCTTCGATTCCTTGGTTCTCCTCGACGGCGTCGTTCTGGCGAACACTGGGCCCCGCAGGCCTGAATATGGATGGCGCCGCGCGCCAGGCAGGTGGAGGGCGTAGGCTCCAAGCTACAACTGCGATATGGAGTGATCGGTGATCCGACCTTTTGTGAGTATTGCGGATACGATCACGCGTCACTCCAAGGCCAAGAGCCCTGAAAAGCGTTGGGCGGAGATGGCAGCAGGAGAAGTGGGGTCAGGGCTAGCCAGAGGCAGCAGGGAAGCGACAGGAACCACACGTCGAGCATCCTCCGGGTGCAGAGGGCGCTCGCCAGGTGCCGATCGGCCCGCGGAGGCCAGCCCAAAGCTGCCAGCGCGGCGCTGCAGTCTCAGACCAGCGCAGGGCAGGGCAAGCAGGGGGCTGGCGCGGCTTGGGCCAAAACCTCAGGACACCGTCGCCGAGAGGCACCCGCCGTATGCTGGTCTCCTGAGCTGCTTCCAACTCGACGAGGCTGCGCACGCGACGCCTGCAGCGCTCACGGCGCGCAAAACTCCCCGCGCAGCCAAGTGCGCAAGGCGAACCCTCTGCTCTGCGGCAGCGATCCTTCCTCCCCCATGACTGAAACACACAACGAAGGCCCCTGCCCTGGGAGCCAGCAGCCGGCGCCGGCGCGGTGGCGAAGGAGAGACCGTCGAGCGCACCTGCGGCTTCACATCTGTTCCCTCTCCTCTTCTTCTGCAACCCATGCTGCCATTCCGACCATCCTCCTCCTCCTCCTCCTTCCCCTCCTCCTCCTCCTCCTCCTCCTCCTCCTCCCCCTCCTCCTCCTCCTCCTCCTCCTCCTCCTCCTCGTCCCGTCTCTCACTCTACAACCCTCCTCCGCTCCACGATTCTCGCCTCTGCTCGCCCTGCCCACCCGCCCCATTCGCCCCTCCTCTGCCATCTTCCCAGTCACCGCCCCGCCTCCCACAATCGCAGATCGTCTGAGAAGATTGCAGCTTCGCAGATGCCCATCCCTTCTTCGCAGATGCTTTCACCTCTTCAGGCGACCCGTATCATAAGGATGCGCGATAAGGATGCAAGGGCCTTGGACGCCCATGACGAAGCTTCTCGAGAGGGGCGCGGCCGACGAAAGTGGCCAAGGATGGACCGAGGAGGCAAGGATGCAAGGGTACCTTTGGGAAGGTTGTCCATGCTTACTATGCGGGTTGACTGTGTTTCGGCATGACACCAGCATCTGCACGGGCACAAACGATGGGTGATTGTGGGGGTCCGCATCACGTGACATTGCCACGCGACTGCCACGACAACAGAAAAACGCCAACACAGCGCCACCACAACACCACGCTAGACAGTGGCGGCAAGCGAACACAAGATATCCGCTCCTAAACATGTGGGAACGCGTGCTGGAACTTCGGGAAGCGGTAACTGTAAGAGGAGTCTCAGATCATTTCCTCCACCGCATCACACCACATCCCGACACCAACGCACGCAGTGGTCAGTGATGAGGTGCTGCTCTCGCAGTGTGGAAATGCCATGTAGGGGAAGCTCTGAAGCCGCTCCTTCTACTGAGTGACTTACAATAGATTTGCTGCCACGCTGCAGGATCGAGGCCGTCAGTCTGACCAGGGTCGAACACGGCAACTCGCAGAGCTTATGCAGCGGTGGTGGAGGAGCAGAGCAGGGGGAAGCCAGTAAGAATCGGCCATGCGCAAAGGCGAGGATGGGTGAGGGGCGCAAGGAAGGGGACATGCAATTTGCGCTTCGAGCAATGACGCTCTTTGGATCGCGGCACCCGATCTCGCAGTGCTCTCCTCTTTGGGGCAAGATTTGTGCTGCCTCTGCACAACGCGCAGGACTTCCTCGACGAGACCGACAGCCTACGGCGAAGGAGAAGCTGCAGAACGGCTTGAGGGGGAAGGAAAACAGATGCAACGGCGCCCATGTACCAGGGCAATCGCAAGAGACAATGGCCAGCGGAGAAACAAACAGACATCGTGATCGGGTGCCTAAGGGACATCTCTATCCTCATCCTTCCATGTCCATTGTCACACTCGTTCGACTGCTACTGCCTAGATCCTCCCCAAGTCTGACCTCCCACCTTCCCTCTTTGGCCCGCACAGCGCTAGCCAGATGACCTAAGGAAGAGGGCGACTTGCTGTCGGCGTGCGCCAGCGGGTCCAAGGCCGTCGCGGGCGCCAGCGTCGCAGGTGAACTGGGCCGGTTTATTACCCAGACAGGGGAGACCAGACACGACATGAGCACCCAGGGCGCACACCCGCAGAACCTCAAAGTGGTTGCGACGGTCTCGCTCTGAAAATCGAGTTATTCTTCATATATCTTCGCTTGCGCATACGGGTCGCACAGCAAGCTAGGCTTGACGCCACCAGCGGCCTGCGTTCGGCCATGAATCATGGATGCAGGCCGTCTGCTCGGCTACGAGCACAGCAAATGTGCAAATCACAAGGCACTTCAGAGATCATACATGGGTGAGCTTGGATGAGAGATGGACGCATGCCAGCTAATAGATTAACACATGGCGTCTAACGGATGCACACATGGTTGTTGTATGCATCTTGGCCACGTGTCGCTCTCGAGCGGTGCATCCCGAGCGGAAGTCCTGTTCTGAGACGTCCACGCAAAGAGCCGCGTCATGAGCCCAGCTGACTGCGAAAACAACGACCAAGGGGCTGGAAAGGCCACAGGGGCCAGGCTGAATGGGACCGAAGGCAGCCTTGAAGGGTGGCCCACTCGGGCACAGCGACGAAGGCGGGGGGGGGAGGGCCGCGGGGAAGCCGGACCGACTGAGATCCACAGCGACACGGGAGCTGGACGGGCGGCGAGGGGGCACTGCATCGACCAGGCTGCAGGAGGAGTCCCGACGTGGAGCTCCGTCCTGGCCCAGCAGCGACAGGGCTGGAGAGAAAGGCAGCGGCGGGGAGGCAGCGAAGCGGCCAAGCTGACTTGAACCGAAAGATGACGAACGATCAACACGCACCTATACCCATAGGGGGAACGGAATGGGCCATGGGTGCGTGCTGTCGGATGGGGCTTCCCGCTCGAACGGGAGCCTCCCCAGGGGTCCGACAACCCGCACCCATACCCATGGCCAGTCCTTCTCCCTCCGACCTCCCTATGGGAATGGATGTGTGTTGTTCGCTCGTTGAAGGAACCCGGGGGAGAGCCAGACCCACCGACGAAGGTGCCAGAGGAGCCGCGGGCGAGGAGGCGACAGAAAGGCCAGCCTGTGCTAGGTGTGTAAGCTCCCGCGACGTGCAGACGGGTGGTTCCCTCGACTTGGCCAGAGCAAGGGTTCGACTCCGACCAAAGAACGAATCGAAACTACGAGTGCGAAATCAGTACGAATCCAATGTACGAGTGGGAACTACATGCGAACTGAAAGTGCGTGGGCGAAAAGAGTGGGAATGAGATACGAAAACATACAAAAAACAGCGTGTAAGTGCAGAAGTAAGAACTACATACAGGAAACACAAGTGCGCATCATAAGTGTGAAAGCATACGAGCAATACGACAGCGCATCCAACGTGTAAAAAAGGTGCGGCTCTAAGTGTTGAAAAAGTGCCAAAACTACGAAACCACATCTTTAGCCCCTGGAATCATGTTATTCGTACTTCTGTCGCACTCGTACTTTCGATGCGTACGTTTTTCTTCACACTTCGTCCATAGTTCTTGCTGACGTCGTACTGACGTACCAACCTGCACAGCTGGAACGTGTGATTCTAGATCGAGGGAAGCTTTGAGGATAAACCAAAGAAAACCACAGCTTGACGTTATCTCAGATGTGCCTCACAACCTTGCAAGATCGCATCCGGCGAAGGAGGCAAAAACATACATCAACCCTCAACCCGTACCATGAGGATGAACGGTAAGGATGCAAGGGCCTTGGACGCCTATGTGAACGTGTTTCGAACGAGGCTGGCCAGCGAAAGTGGCCAAGGACGGACAGAGGAGGCAAGGATGTAAGGGTACCCTTGGGAAGGTTGCCCGTCCTTCCTATGCGGGCTGACTGTACTTACTTCGGCATGCTGCCGACATGCAGAAGTCCGGACAGAATGCACCCTGGACACTCTATTTATCGAACATCCTGGATCGCACAGAGACGCTTGCTGGCCACCGAGGCCGCACATCCTCGCCTGCGAGCCTAGGGCACTTCTCTGCACCCCCCAACTGAAACATGTACTGCAGCGAGGTAGAGAGCACAAAAAAACACCCTCATGATAATCACCCCGACAAGCAAAGTCGTTTAGCAAACGCACCAACAGGATGAATCGAGCATGGCAGGGCTGCTGAGTAAACGCCCAGAACCGTTCAGCAAGCGCCAAGTATCGGGCCCGGGCGGTTTTCCTCCCTTGATGAGGCGCAGATAGGTCGTTGGCAGATCCAAGGATCGATTCGGAAGACGACCTATCTGTAAGTTTCACGCCGATTTATTGCCTGACGGCGTCTTTCAAGGGGCCCTGGGACACTAAATACACACCAATAACAGGATTCCCCATACTTTCCCATATTTTCTGGGTTTTGTCTTCCCCCCCACTTCCCAATGTTTCCCATATCTTCGTGGGAGTCGACGATATGTGTCTGTGTGTTTGTGTGTGTTTTCCTCTCCTGATATCTGTAAGCTGCACGCCGACTTACTGCCTGACGGCGTCTTGGATGCATGCTCGTCCGACTGCGTGCTCGTGGAGGACGTCTCGCTGGCCATCCCCCTCCTCTGCGCCTGGCCAATCTGCAGCTGAAGGGGCCCAAGGACACAAAAATAAATACACACAAATAAAAGGATTCCCCATATTTTCACACACACACACCCCCCCCCAAAAAAAAAAAACGTTTTCTCCCCCACTTCCCATATGTTCCCATAGCTTCTGGGAAATTGACGATGAATTGTGTCTGTGTGTTTTTCCCCTCCTGAAATATGCAGCGGCGAAGCAGACCGAGTGCCGCCTCGTTTCAGCAGTGTAGCAGCTGGAGGGAAGAACGCAGAGGAGAAGGAGGAGGAGGAGGAGGAGGAGGAGGAGGAGGAGGAGGAGGAGGAGAGAGCACACTCGGCCGATCCCGTACCCAGAGACCCGATTTTGGTCTTTTTCGATGCGAGCTCCCTGGACATCCCCCGAGCTCCCGACCACTTCCCCTGGGGCCGGCTCTCCGTCCTAGGCCGACGTCTGGCGGTCCACAGGGCCCGTTGACGGCCTCCGGATTCCGAGAATGACGATAAACTCCGCGTTGAACCAATCACGACGTAAGACTTCTGGGTATGAAAGCCACCCCCCCCCCCGGCATCTCCAACGATCCTTCGCGCCAGATCCCAGGCTTCCACAGCGCGTGCGCAGGGTCATCCGCGGGGCTCCCGCAGCCAAGACCGAGGCCTGGCGCTCTCAGGTGCGGGGCCTCGACCGCGATCCGCCCCCGAGGGAGGCCACACGGCTGCTCTGCGGCCGCTTGGCCCCCGGCAGCGCTCGAGCGGCGGAGGGGCGCTCCCGAGGCCGCCCGAAGCACCGAGCAGCTGCGGCGGGAGCACCGAGGGAGGCCCCACGCACGGCACGCGGGGGGGAGCGCCCGCCGGGCCCTCGCCGAGGTCCCCCCGGCCCCCCCGTCAGTGGAGGGAGGAGGAGCGGCAGCGAAGCATCAGCCTGCGACGGCCCGCGCGGAGCGCCCCGGAGTGTCCGATCGCACGCCCTGCTCCTCCGCGACCCCTGGCCCCGGGCGGGCGCGCCGACGCTCGAGGCCTCTCACAATAGGGTCCGAGCAGGCGGGGTCGGAGGATCCCGCCGCATCGGCGATGCATCGGCCATGCACTGCCGACGTCGGCGATGCGTCGGCGACGTCGGCGTGGAGAAAAAGTGAGCCCCACATCGCCTATGCATCGAGGATGCGTCGCCGATGCGGCGCGATCCTCCGACCCCATCTACTCCGACCCCATCTACCCTATTCTTCCTGCTCTGTTCTTCCTCTTCCACTACTCTGTTCTTCCTGTTCTCCTCAACCGGCTCTTCCTCTTCCTAGGAGCCCCAGAATCATCTGCTCCGTTCTTCCTGGACCCCTGGCCATCGGGCAGGCGATCCGACTCCGGAAGGCCGCCTCGAGCTCGCCGCGCCGAGCAGGTCGCCGCCGCCCGCGGGCCCGTCGTCCCAGCCCTCGAGCAGGTCCGCCTGCGCGGGCGCCCAGGGCGCCGCCGCAGCGCGGCGCCGAGCAGGGCTCGCCGGTGGGGGGGGGGGGCGGGCCGAGGAGAGGCAATCCTCGGGGAGGTCGGAGCTGCTCAAGGAGGAGGAAGAGGAGGAGGAGGAGGAGGGAGGAGGAGGAGGAGAGGAGGAGGAGGAGGAGAGGAGGAGGAGGCGGAGGAGAAGGAAGAGGAAGAGGGAAGAGGAGGAGGAGGAGGAGGAGGAGGAGGAGGAGGAGGAGGAGGAGGAGGAGGAGGAGGAGGAGGAGGAGAGGAGGAGGAGGAGGAGGAGGAGGAGGAGAGGGGGGAGGCGAGGCGCCGCGCGGGGAGGCGTCGGAGCTCTCGCTCGGGCACCTGCAGGGAGCTCTCGGGGGCCGCGCCTCGCGCCCCCGCGGGGGACGGCGAGGTCGGGCGCGGCGCACCTCTGCAGGCCCCAGCGCGGCGGGCTCCTGGAAGAGGCAGCCCGAGCCTTGGGTCGGGCATGTCCTCCCACAGGCGGGTCGGGCATGTCCTCCCACAGGCGGGTTCTGGAAGAAACGTGGACGATAGCCAGAGAAGTTTCCAGAATACCCAGAGAACGACGCGAGGAATCGCCCCCCGACGATCTTGGGCCACTTGTGAAGATCTCCTCCTGCAGAGGGACATGCCCGACTTCACCCGAGCCCGCGGGGGCCCCCGCCCGGCCTCGCCCAGGGCGTCCAGGGGGAGACCCTGCGCCCCGCGCGGGCGGGGAAGGCGGCGCTGCCCCGCGATGATCCCCAGCAGACGAGCGCGTCCCAATGCTCGCGAAGTAACTGCTCGCAAATGGCCTGGATCCACCGCGGGGGATACATGATACATTACATCGATGCAGACACGTACTCTTCGGACGTCTGCGAGTAGGCACTCTGCGAGTAGTGGAACGCGCTCGGTGACCCAGAGAAGCTTGGCGCACGCAGAGCTTGAGCGCTCGATGGCTCCGCCGGCGGCTGCGCGCACCCGACAGGCTCGCGAAGGCGAGCCTCCGCCCGCAATGGGGGGCAGCCGCTGCCCGCCCCCTCGTGTGGCGCGCGCCCCCGTCCGTGGCTCCGGGGTGCAGGCCGCACAACCCCAGCACCCGCATAAGTCGCCGGGAGGGTGGCCTGGTCGTGTCGGAGGAAGGGGGGGGCAGTACAGGCGGGGTGGCGAATCAGCTCACGCAGCTGATTCTCCAGGCGCATCCCGCTGCCAGAGGCGCCAGTGTCTCGAGGAAGGCGCCCGACGGCGGGGCTGAAACCCGCTGCATGCCGCAGGTTCTGTGACCCCCCCTTTCCCTATTCCCCCCCTCTCGTGCGCCCCGACAGGGGCAGCGGGAAAGCTCCAGAGTCCAGCGCGGGGCGAGCGCCCATGCCCGCTGCACCTCTGGCGCGGCCCCCCGCAAACCAGCAGGACCCCAGGGGCGGACAGAGCGCGAGCTCCGGTCCTGGATGGCCCGCCCCGTTGAGAAGGCTGACTCAGATCTCACAATCGGCGGTGGACAAACCTCCCTTTAGTAAACCTCCCCTCAGTGAAAACGGCCTGGGACCGAAACCGACGGACCTGGACCCGCAAAAATGACGACCGCGACGCCCTCTCGCGAATCGAAAACGGCCAATTCCTTGATCGACGTGTCAGCGTCGGAGGTCTATCCACCTCCGAGGGATCTGTACAGATCCCGTCGCCTGGCAGCCTCGGGCACGCCGCCGGCCCGGGGCGTCTCTCTGGACGGCACGGAGGCACGAAGCCCACGAAGCCTGCTCCTTCCCTGCTGCGCGGTGGGCAAAGAAAAGATGGTAGCGCTCGTTTTCAGCAGACCACAAATCACTGGTGATGTCGCGCCCAGCCAGGGTGCATGGTACGCCAGGCCCCCTCAATACTCGGCACGCCTCGTCTCATGACGAGCCTGTGGTCGTCACGACGGCTGCGGTGACCAGTGGCGGCGACATCCTCCTCATCATCCACCGCGTGAGCGTTTTCTGGTTCGGCGTTCCGACCCTGGATGAAGGAGGGGGAGGTCAGGCTCCGGACCTCTGCTTGATGCGACTGTTTGCACCAGTACGTCCCATGGGGGGGACTCCACCTGCGCGATGCAGGCGCCAACAACGGCCAAGATCTGCCCCATTGGAAGGGGGGAGGGGGGGGGAAGGCGAGGGCCCGCGCCCATCGGCAAAACAAGGAACAAGAAGACGGCGCCTATCGTCCTCCTCGTCATCACGCTTCCTCCTCCAGGGCGTCACAAACAGCACCAAGATCTGCTGAAGGGGGTGGGGGGGGAATGGGGTGCGAGTGCCCGCGCGCGCCGATCGGCAAAACAAGGAGCAAGAAAACGGTCACCTCCCCCATCTACGGTTAAGTCGGGCGTGTCCCCCATACAGTGGGATTGTGGGCGAAAAATAATATTACAAAATCCTCACACATGACCAAAAAATAGTCCCCAGACTATTTTTGGACTTTTCTTGAATTTTCCCGCTGTAGAGGGACAGGCCCGACTTAAATCTGCGGTGGCTCTCCGCCCCGCCCTCGGTGATCCTCCGCCCCGTCCAGGGCGACGAAAGGGGCGAATAGCCCAGGGGAGAGCAATGCATGTATCCAGGGGCGCCGATGCTCTGTCTTCGACGAGGCTCCCAGGCGAGTACGTGTAATGCCCGCCCCATGGGCTATTCGCCCGTGTCGTCGCCGCCGACCCCGCACCGCGAGCGGAGGCGCGGCCAGCGCCTCGCCTCCAGCGCACCCGCGGGGCCCGGGCTGCCGCCCTCCAGCAGGTCGACGGTGGGCGCGGCGGCACCCTGCGCGGCGACGCGGGGCGCTGCCAGGCTGCGCGGGGAAAGGGGACAGAAGACTCGACGCCGTGAGAGCTTCAACACCTGAAAGCAATGACCTCACAGTGCTGCCCCTCAGAGGTTAGCCTCCTCCTCCTCCTCCTCCTCCTCCTCCTCCTCCTCATCATCATCATCATCAGCAGCAGCAGCAGCATCATCAGCACCACCACCACCACCATCATCATCATCCTCATCATCCTCATCATCAATCAGCAACATCATCATCAGCAGCAGCATCATCATCGTCATCATCATCAGCAGCAGCATCAGCATCCTCATCATCATCATCATCATCATCATCATCATCATCATCATCATCATCATCATCAACAGCAGCAGCATCATCATCAGCAGCATAATCATCAGCAGCAGCAGCATCATCATCATCATGATCATCATCAGCAGCGTCACCATCATCATCAGCAGCAGCATCATCAGCAGCAGCATCATCAGCATCATCATCATCAGCATCATCAGCATCATCAGCATTAGCATCAGCATCAGCATCAGCATCAGCATCATCATCAGCATCATCAGCATCATCAGCATCAGCATCAGCATCAGCATCATCATCATCATCATCATCATCATCATCATCAGCATCATCATCATCATCATCGTCATCATCATCTCGCTTCCCCTTCTCCCCTTGCTGCCACTCGATCGCGTCCTCTCCTTCTCCCGCTCCGAGCCCTCCTCCTTTCCCTACTTGGTAGATGAGCGTTTTCTTAGTTGGCGTTTCGACATTGAGCGCAAGGGGAGGGAGGGAGGGAGGGGGGGTCTGGCTCCGAACCTCTGCTTAATGCGAGTGTTTGGTTTGCAACAGTGCGTCCCATGGGGGAGACTCCACCTGCGTGAAGCAGGCGCCAACAACAGCTAAGATCTACCCCATAGAAAGGGGGGGTGAGGAGGGGGGGGGAAGGCGAGGGCCCGCGCCGATCGGCAAAACGATGAACAAGAAGACGGCGCCTATCATCCTCCTCGTCATCACGCTTCTCCTCCAGGGCGTCAATCCGCGGGCCCCCCGCCCACCAGCCACCGATACAGCAGAATTCAAAGATGACGGAGGCGCCAACTACCGAGTCAGCATTGGTCCAGAGTGGATGGCAGGACAGACGAACGAGGATAGAGTTAAGTCGGGCCTGCCCCCCTCACAGGGTGATTTTGTACGAGAATATAAAATACTCCCAAAAAAAACTCAATAATAGCCCGAAAATGCTATTAAAAACGTCCCCTGACCACTTCTGACTATTTTTTGACTTTAAAAACAATCAAACATAGCCAGAAAATGCTTTCAAAAATCGTCCCCTGACTGGTTCTTTACTACTTTCGAATAGTTCTTCCTGCAGAGGCATAGGCCAGGCTTAGGGATGGGAGGCCAGGCCCGGGGGGCCCGGCGGCGCGCCCTCCCGAGCGAGCCCTCCGACCTCTCTCCCCCGGAGGCCCCGCCTGCCTTCCGAGCAGCGCTGGGCTCGTTTGCCACCACCACCACCACCGCCACGAGTTGGAGGGGGAGGGGGTCCTCCTCCTCCTCCTCCTCCTCCTCCTCCTCCTCCTCCTCCTCCTCCCTCCTCCTCCTCCTCCTCCTCTTCTTCCCCTCCTCATCCTCCACCTCCTCTTCCTCCTCCTCCTCCTCCTCTCCTCCTCCTCCTTCCTCCTGCTCCTCCTCCTCCTCCTCCTATCCTCCACCTTCCTCCTCCTCCTCATCCTCCACCTCTTCCTCCTCCTCTCCTCCTCCTCTTCTTCCTCCTCCTCCTCATCCTCCCACCTCCTTCTCCCTCCAGTGGGTGGTGGTGGTGGTGGTGGTGGTGGTGGTGGTGGTGGTGGTGGTGGTGGTGGTGGTGGTGGTGGTGGTGGTGGTGGTGGTGGTGGTGGTGGTGGTGTGGTGGTGGTGGTGGTGGTGGTGGTGGCGGTGGTGGTGTGTGGTGGTGATGAGGTGGTGGTGTGGTGGTGGTGGTGGTGGTGGTGGTGGTGGTGGTGGTGGTGGTGGTGGTGGTGGTGGTGGTGTGGTGGTGGTGGTGGTGGTGGTGGTGGTGGTGGTGGCGGTGGTGGTGGTGGTGATGAAGGTGGTGGTGTTGGTGGTGGTGGTGGTGGTGGTGGTGGTGGTGGTGGTGGTGGGCCCCTCGGGAGGGCCCGCCCTCGGGGATCGACTGGCCCGGGCCCATCCACGCCCGGAGTCCAGCCAGGCCCTGCAGTGGCCCTGCAAGATCCTGCAGGGTCCCGCAGGAGCCTGCGCCCAGGCCCCAGGTCAGTGCGCCCTGGCTCCGCAGGGTCCTGCGAGATCCGGCGATCTGGCCGCCCCCCCGTTTGCAGTGGCCCCCGTCTCTTGAGCCCCGATGCCCCCTCTCGCTCCCCCTTCCGGTGCGCCGCCGACAGGCATTCCCAAACCAAGCCTAGCAAAGGTGCGCCAAGCTAAATGATGATGAGATAGCGCGAACATGGGCGAGGCTAGGCTAGGCCTGGCAGATGTGAGAGAAGATGGACGAAGCTCAGACCAGGGTCGCTGTCCTGGAGACCTAGTGATGCTGCCACCTCCCTTGGGTTAACTGATGCCCTTCCTATTTGTTTCGCTACTGATTCTGGTCCTGACATCGTCCGCACGCCTGTCGAATGCCCCACCCGCATCGGAAGCAGCGGCCCTGCCTTTATCAGGCCTAACTTGACGAGCATAGGTACTGCCGCGTCCTCGGGGAGAGATTCATGCTGACCACCTGCTGTGCTAAACAAGATCGCTTGCCTTGGGAAGTCAGAAATGGCCCGCCATAGGTCTGAGAGCCATCAATGCGCCAACCATCTGGTACATGCAATGGATGTGGTACATGCAGTGGATTTGTCCCGTCTCCTTTCTGGAAAAGGAGTAGCGCGGAAGACCTCCTATGATGCGGCTGGAGAATACTCGCCGTCTAAGATTCACAGCTGTGGCACGTTCCACTGAGGCGTGCTGCAACATCGAGAGCTACCCTCCCTGCGTGCAGGAAAGAGAAAGCAGCGTGCACTCGAACCGGGCACCTACCGCTCCTCCCCCGTACCTCGGGGGCGCGCAAACATGGATTAGTGATCCATGGATTTGGCGCGCGGTCGCCAAATACATGGATCGGGGGAGGTGCCCTCCCCAAATGCGGCCAATGCCGCCTCGCTCGGCGGCGGAAATCCGCGATTTCCCATGGAAACGGGACCTATCACTAATCCACGCCCCCTTAATCCATGGTTGCGATCGCCTGAGTAACCACGTTCTCTCCCCAGCTCCCCACCTTCTCTCGCTCCCCCACTGAAACCCGAGACCCACCTCCACCAGACTTTCTGGGGGGACGGTCACCCGGGCAGGTTCCAGGGCGATTTCGAAGCACTACATGAGAAACCAGGGCACGAGGACGATCCCAAGCTAAGGCGGCTCTCCCTGGGAGAGGAGGTTGTGATAACAGGATACTCTCTTTTCCTCCTGATCCGTCAAAATCTAGTTCGAGCCTGTTGCACGAGAAGGCGAGTAGCACTTGAGCCAAATGGGTACAGACCCTCTTCCCCCCTCTCCTGGGGTCCAAAATGCCATTCTAAGGGGCGGGCGGGGGGCGATCTCGTCAACGCACCCCTGGAGCCTCGGGAGCCCCGGGAGCCCCGAAAAAGCCCCAAGGCAGACTAACAGGGCCCAGACAGAGCGCCAAGACAGTCGAAGAGAGAGACATGACGGCCCAGGGTAGCCCCGCGACGGTCCAAGATGGTTTCAAGATGGCCCACGATGCCCCCACGACAGCCCAAAAGCGCCTCCAGAGGATCGCCGAGAGGATCACAAGAGGCCAAAACCACCTCATCCCCCTGGAATGCCATAATTGTTCCGCACAGTTGCATCGCAGTTTACGTTTTGATAGCGAACACGACGGCCCGACTGGCCCTCAAGATCGCCCCCAGACGGCACATGACGCCTCCAGGAAGGCCCCAAGACGACCCCCCAAGACGGCCCAAGCGCACCCCAAGACGGCCCAAGACAGCCCCTGGAGGGCCCCAAGAGGGCTCCATGAAAGCCTATGTCGAGCCTTTCCCAATGAGATGGCCCCTGGTGCTTGAAGGAGTTGGGCAGGTGCTTCTTTCTGGCCTTCGGACGGCCCAGGACGGCCTAAATGGCCCCCGAGATCGCCTCCAAATGGCCGCTGCGGCCCCTGGGATCGCCTCAAGATGGCCCTTGCGGCCTCCAAGATGGCTCCATGACGGCCCAGGAGGCCCCCAAAACGGCCCCAAGAGGGCCCCAAGACGGCCCAAGAGGCCTCCAAGACGCCGGTCCATGGCGTCTGAGCCCACTGGCCGTATATTCGTCACTCCAGAAGACTGTCCACTTGCTGACCCTCCTCAGGTTAAGCCGCGTCTTCTGCGACTGCCGCCTTACACTACTGCTGTCTCCCCATGTGCATGTATATGTATAAACGTATGGTTATGTGTCGCCCTCTATTCCTCACGCTCGGCCAATCTGCCCATGTATGCAGTCAGTTATAATTCAAGCGAGCAACCAAAAAATGTGTATAGGATGACCTCTCCACTGGTGTAGATACAAGCATGTATACTCATGTTTATGTGTAGTCAGCATTTGAATACAGATCTGTACACAAGGTATATATGTATGAGTATGTATGTGCATGTGTGGCGTGAACCTATCAGTGCACCTGAATGTACAGATCCGACACTGTGCCCCTGACCCAGGCACGGTGGCGGGATGCGCCAAAGGCCACCATACATCCGCCGCCCCCTGTCGATTCATCACAGGTGTGCCTGGCGTGCTAGATCCTCTCGGACTTGGTTTGGGTTCTTTTCCAACAGAACTCCCCCTGGGGCTCCGGCGCGTCCCGCCGGCCACCCGAAAACTGCACAAGTCAATGCCTATTCCGTCCCAAGGTGGCCCAAGATGGTCCCAAGACGGCCAAGATGGCCCAGGATGGCCTCCAAGATGCCTCCAAGACAGCCAAAATGGCCTCCAAGACGGCTAAGATGGCCCCAAGATGCATCCAAGACGGCCCAATATGGCCTCAAGATGGTCTACGACGGCCCAAAAGGCCCGCAAGAGGCCTCCAAGACGGCCCAAGAGGCTTCCAAGAGGTCCTCCAGGAAGGCCCGAAGAGGCCAAAACCATTGATTTCCTTTGGTTTTTGAAGGATTTTGGCATTTGCGCCTTTTCGGCTTTCCGACGGCCCAAGACGGCCCAAGAGGCCCCCAAGATCGCCCAAAGGTCGCCCAAGAGGCCTCCAAGATGGCACCATGACGGCCCAAGAGGCTCCCACGACGGCCCCAAGAGGGCCCCAAGATGGGCCAACAGGCCTCCAAGACGCCCAAGATGGCATCTAAAACGGCCCTGGAGCACCCCAAGAATGCCCCGAGTCGACCCAGAGAGGCCTCCCAATCGGCCTCCGACGGCGTCAGACAGGCCAGGAGCCCACCAAGATGGCCGAAGTTGGCTCGAAGCTGGCCCAAGACGGTCCAAGAGGCCTCCAAGAGGGGCTGCAGGAAGGCCAGAAGATGCCACAAACATTGATTTTCAATGAGTTTTTGAAGGACCTTGACATTCGCTTCTTTTCGGCCATCCGACGGCCCGAGACGGCCCAAGAGCCCACAAAGATCGCCCCAAGATCGCCCAAGAGGCCTCCAAGACGGCCCCCACGAGGCCCCCAAGACGGCCCCCAAGAGGCCTCCAAGACGGCCCCAGAACGGCCAGGCCCCCACGACGGCCCCAAGAGGCCCCCAAGACGGCCCAGGAGGCCTTTAAGACGCCCAAGATGGCATCTAAGACGGCCCTGGAGCATTCCAAGAGGGCCTCAAGTCGGCCCAGGGAGGCCCCCCAAACGGCTTCGACGGCATCAGACGGGCCAGGAGCCCACCAAGACGGCCGAAGATGGCCCTAAGATGGCCCAAGAGGCCTCCAGGAGGGCCTCCAGAAGGCCCGAAAAGGTCAAAATCATTGATTTCCCATGAGTTGTTGAAGGATTGTGGCATTTGCTTTTTTCGGCCTTCCGACAGCCCGAGATAGCCCAAGAGCCCCCAAAGATCGCCCAAGAGGTCTCCAATATGGCCCCAAAACGGCCCAAGAGGCCCCCAAGACGGCCCCAAGAGGCCCCCAAGACGGCCCAAGAGGCCTCCAAGACGCTCAAGCTGGCCTCCAAGACGGCCCTGGAGCACCCCAAGAAAGGCCCAAGTCGGCCCAGCCTCCCCCACCGTGTTCCCCGGGCGATTTCCAAACCGATTCGGGGAACACATGGTCCGATAGCTTGGCGGGCCTCTGGCCACAACGTGCGGCCACATAGGCGTTTCCAAAAAAGGCAGGGGGCGGCGATGATTCGCCGTAGGCGTCTTCGATTAAGAGAGATAGAGAGAGAGAGAGAGAGAGATTCCACCACCGTTGCTGCACGGCTGGGACGTGTTCGAATGATCTTATGTTGTCTGGTGAGGCTGTTTGGTGTTCGCTGGGGCCGATCGGCCCCCCCCTCGCAGCACTCCACCCCAGGAAATCGTCCCCCGTGGATGTGACTTCTGGCGATCTTCCAGTCTCGAGACGGCCAAGATGGCCTCCAAGACGGCTTCCAAGACAGCACGGGTGACATCAAGACGGCCCAAGATGGCCTGAAGCCACTCAGAAGCTCCCAAGACGGCCTCAAGACACCAAGAGGCTTCTCAGACGGCCCAGGGCTCCAAGAGGCCCTCTAGGAAAGCCCGAGAAAGCAGAAACTGTTGTTCCCTAAGTGTTTGAAGGATTTTGAGGTTCTCGCCTGTTTGGTGTGTGACCACCCAAGATGGCACGAGGGGCCTCCAAGATAGCTTCAAGACAGCCCAAGAGGCTCCCAAGAGGGCCCCAAGCCGGCCCAAGAGGCCCCCCAAGAAGACCCCAAGAGGCCCCAAGAGACCCCCATGAGGCTCCCAAGAGGTCCCCAAGCAGCCCCCAAGAGAGACCAAGAGACCCCCTAAAGGCACCCAAAACGCCCAAGAGGCTCTGAAGAACGTCAAGACTCCCAAGACGCACCAAGAGGTAACGCGTTCGCCGTAGAGTCTTGACAAGGCATTGCAAATCTACCCATGGCCGTTGGGATCCCAGCCCTGCGCCCGTTTCGGCGGAAAACATTCAGGGCCGCTTCGCGCAACGTTCACAACGATGTGGCGCTCACGCTCAAGCGGGCAACGACCGTCGTGATTGACTTGTAAAGACCTCTCGCAATTTAAGTGACCAGTGTGATGCAGCTGGAGATGGACGAACAGTGGGGTTGCGCATATGCCAGTGACAACTGCTGCATTGCATTCTTAGGTGAGTTCCACGCATGAGCGTGCTCTTGTGTATACCAGCGTTGGCTAAAAATGGGCGCGACGATACATCTATGTATCGATATGTGTGCGTGCAAACAAATATGCCATATATGTCAGGGCATCTAAGCAAGCGAACAAGCACGCAAGCAAGCGCGATCCGCATGCGCAACCCGCATGCGCAACCCGAATGCGCAACCTGGGCAAATCTGGTCCCGCTGGGTGGGGGGCACATGGACCAAGCAATAGATCAGAAAAAAAACTCCTCGGGCTGATCATACCTCCCCAGCCAGTTGCAGAAAAATGACAATACCCACGGTCACATCTGGTGCAGCTTGCCTGAAAGGACTACGATTCGAGGCGCTCGGAATGCGCACACCCGTGCATACGCTTGCGCGCATCGCGGACACTCTACCTCCACCTCTGGCAGCTTGGAAGGGCCAGCGCCGCCGACAGTGCATCGATAGGATCGGTCTGCGCAAGGAGGACGCTCGCGGGCAGGTCCTTGTGCTTGGTGCTACTCCGCAAGGAAAGCAGCTCCTCGGAGACCTCGGCCCTGATCTCCTCGCGGGCCCGCCACCGACAGAGGGCGGCAGAGAGCCCCGGCTGTTCTGAACCTGCTCGCACTGCGTGTAAATTCTGAAGGTCCAGGTAGCAGAAAAGGAACAATCGCCATGAACATAAACTTCTGGCGCTCCGCGCGGATTTCTTGGACCTGCGCTGGACCCCCCTCCCTGGCGCGCGGAGCGCACCAGGGGCGGCGCCGGAGGCGCCGCAGGGGGGCCCAGCGCAGATCCGAGAAATCCGCGCGGAGCGCCAAAAGTTTATGTTCATGGCGCTTTTCCCTTCTTCGAGGTAAGCGAGCAGACTCTGAACACGCACTACCAAACACGTCTGCCGGGCGGTACGGGGACTTGCTCTCGTGTCGGCGATTTCCCTCCTCCCCCCACCACGCGCATTGAATGAGGAGAGGGCAACATTCAAAACTGCAAGAGGTACAGAGCAAACGCTGCATGCGTCCTGAAGTCCCATTCTCTTCAGCCGAGAGAAAGCAAACGAAGGACTGTCCTGGGCAGCGCCCTTGGCGAGCTCCGAGTCCTGAAGGGCCGCTCAAGCCCGAAGTGAAACCCCTTTCTTTTCTGAAGCGTCCTACTTGGAGCGACAGATGCGGCTCGAACGCAACGGAGTGGCATCATGCGTCGCGGGTGACTCTGGTGGATGGGGAGATACATGGGGCATCCGAAGTGAATGTCCCATGCCCCTGTTCCCCCATGATGCCCTCTCCACCGGAACGCCTCCAAGGCGTAAGTCATCCGATTCAGTGGTGTCGACGCCCCTCCCTGCGGCAGAAGGGCAGAGCAGCTTTCAAAGGCCATCCCCTGGAATGTATCCCTACGGATGTGTGGCGAGTGCTCTGGTAGGGCAACTGCCCTTTACGCCATCCCATGCAGGATCCGTCTCCTCGCACCTGTGCGAGCGGAATCTGCCAGCAGCGCGTTGGATGCCCTGAGCAAGTACAATCAGGCAGTGTCTGACCTGCTGTTCTCCAATCCGCACGCGCCAAGGCGCGTCCAGTGGGTCCGTGGGACTCGCTGGGCCCCCTGCCGCCCGAGGAACGCCAGAAGAGCAGACAAAAGCCCCCCGAGAGCAGGCCAAGAGCACGGGCCAATGGGTGTCAGGGGGGAGGAGCGGAGGAGGAGGCGGCGGAGGAAGAGGAGGAGGAGGCGGCGGAGGAGGGAGGAGGAGGAGGAGAAGGAGGAGGAGGCCTCATGCTGGCTCCAACGTGGCCCCCATCCCACCAGCCCTCTGGGCGTGGGTGGTCTAACGACTTTGTCTTCGCTCTGCCAAAGCTCTCTCCATCTCGTGCTCGGGGGAGGGGTTCATCACTGCTCCCTATCGATAAACACCCCCTCCCCCACCCGACTTTGGGCCAACCCGGGACATGGCCCCCCCCCACCATCCCTGCCAAAAAACGATACAGAATGCATTCGAAATCCAAATCTCGAGCATGCGAGGGCTCCCCGCGACCACTCTGCATTGGTTTTTGACAAGGACGACGGGGGTGCCGGCATGTTTGTTGCGCACGAGGTACGTGCAAGCCAACCGCCCCTGCCGGATAACGATACAGACTGCGGTTTGCGCAGGCGCCCCGGGACCACTCGGCGGGCGCCCGGCGACCACTCTGCAGTAGTTTTTGGACAGGATGGCGGGGGCCGGTGACGGCTGTGCAATGGCGCGCCTCGCATGCACTGCGCGCGCCGAGCACGTGGCGCACCTGGCGCGGCTGGAGCACGTGGCGCACTTGGCGCTCGTGGAGCGCGTGGCGCACTTGCCGCGCCTCGCACGCTCGGGCCTCCGGGGTGCCTGGCGCACCTGAACCCGTGGCGCACATGGCATGCGTGGCGCTCCTCGGGGATGTGCTGAGACTCGGGTCCTGCTTATGTGTTGAGAGGGCGGGTGGAAGTAAGCGAGACGGCTTGCGGTCTTAGGGGGGGCCTCGACCCCTTCCCCTACCCCCTCCCCTAAGCCTAGGGGGGGCCGCGGGTAGTTAGAGCGCCCAAAATGGCCCAAGATGGCTCCGAGAGGGCCTCTGAGAACCCAAGGTGGCCTCCAAGATGGGTCAAGCTACCTCAAGGTGATTCAAGATAGTCTCCGGCACGCATCCAAGAGGCCCCAAGACGGCCCCAAGACGGCTTCAAGTACCCTCCGAGCCCTCCAAGGAGCCCCCCAAGAGGCAAAAATCCTTCAAAGATCGAAGGAACATCAATGTTGTTTGTCTTCTCGCCTTTTCGCTTCTGATGGGCTCTCGCGAGCTCAAAATGGCCCCAAGATGGCTGAAGAGAGCCCCACGAGGGCCCAAGAGGGCCCCAAGAGGGCCCCGAGGGCGCCCAAGAGCGCCCCATGAGGGACTCAAGACATCATTTTTTCGCCAGCGCGCAGCGCACATCGAAGGATTAAAAGCGAAACGAATTCAACAGTTTAAAATCTGCGTTTAAACAATCGATCCTCTCAGTGAGGCCGTCCTTTGCGGATCCGACTGAATATACAAGTTAAATTAGCCATGCAAACAACTGCTCAATGTTTATCCCAGCTGATCATCTCAGCGAGGCCGGACTTTGCGCCTCCAGCTGGTTTAAACACAAAAGTTGAACAGATGTTTAGCTGCTCGCGGCCAAGCTGCTGGGAGGATGTGGAGAGGAGAGAAAAGAGGTTACCTCGCATGCGACATCACTTGTCCTCCTCCTATCCCCCTCCTTGTCCGAAGCCCCCCCCCTCGCAAAAACTTGCACTAGATTAATGCAGGCGCGCGAGAGACTGCTAGTGCCCTCTGCTGCCGATGCCTGTTGCCACGGCGTCGCCTGCCATCGCCCGCAGCGTCGCACATAAAGTATCACTCGCGCATCTTCTTTAGTGGAACGCACGACGCGACTGTGCTCCGACGGAAAACTGCAGCCTCAAGTCATGGTGAAATGACTAGCCTCAGGGGAATCACAGAAATCATGGTGAGGATTCCATAGAAGGCCGCTGCCATCGAAGCTACAGTTACTCATTGCCGAAGCATATTGATGCCTTGGTATCGAAATCAGACTTCGGGAAACTTGAAAAAACAAATGCCTCCATGTGCAACTCGAATGAGATGTTTTGCAACTGTTGCAACTGGTAAGCGCTGAGACATTATCGTCCACTTGTTGCGGTTTTTACATTGTATGGTTTTAGAGCTGATATTTGGATAAGCACAAGTAGTCCTAGCCTCAAGGTCATCGCAAGCAATATCTGCCATTAACGAGGGCCCCAATGTGTGAACCTTTACGTCAGCAAAAAACGGACGCGTTTCGTTTGTAGACACTCGTCGTGAAGCTTTTCATTTTAGATTCCATTATTTCATCGGTCAACCACGCCTCGAAAGATGTCCCGTGAACTGTCTGTCGATACACGTTCGCAACCCAATCGTAAAAGGGCCGGTAGACCATAACGATTCTCGTCGTGAGCGGGGCTAAGTCGGATGCGAGCTGCGACATGTCGTCGCCATCTACACGGCCGCACGATTCACTGACATCACTAGACGCCCGTTCGGTTGTACTGTTAGCAACGCAAGAAACTCATGCCACTTCGTACAAGACATTTCTGAGTAATCAAGATTATGTGCCTTTTTCGCCTGTCTTCCGGTAGCACGCCGCAACGTTTCTGATCTGAGAGTCACGTCTGGTTTTGCCGAACTGCGATGCGTTGACAAACGTCCAGCCGTCGAGACGCAACGAAGACTGATGCGTATATAACTGAATTTGAACTGTTGTGGAACCTGTCTTGGGAGGACCCACGTGAAGTACAATTATTGTTTTTTGGGTAACCCATTCTCGGTCGTCCCCAATGTCTGACCAACGCACAAGTTGAGAACCACACATACGATACTCCAATATTGAAGCTGCCGCAGGGTGAAACAACCAAAGCACACACACCCATGAACGAACAGGGGTCCGATATTTGAGCTAAATTCCGTGTTCACTCCATTGGCTTGAGCCAAAATGGCTTGAGCCAAAATGGTACGGGACTCAAGACATTATTTTTGAACCTCCCGGGGGGGGGAGGGGGGGGGCTGAATTCCTTACCCCCTTCTTTCTGAGCCATGGGACCCAAGACGGCCCCAAGAGGCCTCCCAGACCGCCCCAATGAGCCCCAAGAGGGCCCCAAGAAAGCCCCAAGAGAGCTCCCAAAGGGCTTCAAGAGTGTCCCAAGAGGCTCCGCGAGGACCGTCAGAGAGCCCAAAGATGGCTCCAAGAGACCTCCGAGACAACGCCTTCAAGGTGGTTGTCACACCGCATGCTTCTACACTGCCCTGATCACGGCAACTCGCCTGGCGATACGTTTCTGGATGGGCTGGTGGGGATATTTTTTGTTTGGTCTGCGGCCGCACGACGAAGGTCTGGCGGCGAGGGGCAATGCGCGAGGCGGGCGGCAAAATGCGAATTTGCGAACACAACCGCCACGTTGGCAAGCCGGTTCGCACCTGCATAACAAGCGCGCAGTTGCACACGCACTGAACAAAATGCTCTGCATTCACCAGCAGACGCACGCTGGTGGGGATACTTTTTTTGATCAGCGGCCCGCAAGGAAAAGTCCAGAGGGCGTGGTAATCGAGCAAACTGGGGCACAGTGCCATATAATTAAAACTGCCACGCTGCTGGAGACGCAGGCCAAGCGGCAAGACCACAGCCCAACGGCTGGAGACCGCGCCAAGCAGACCTGCATGCAAGTGCACATGCAGAGAGCGAATGACAGCGAGAGCCAACGAGGAGTCGCCCTGACGGCGCCAGCTCGCAAGCGAAACTGCCACAAGCTGCCAACTGCAGCACGCACAGGGCCTGTACCCGCAGCCGCTGGGGCAAAAGCAGCTGGTGGGGATACGCGAAGCGTCAAGGACAAGCTGCTGCCAAGATGGTCCCAACATGGCTCAGCATGGTCCAAAAAGACGACCCACAATGGCCGAAGAACCTGTCTTTCATCGGATTCTCCAAACATGCCAAATATACAAACATACAGTATACGAGGCGAGAGCATCCAGCTCGTAGTCCTGGCAGCAGAGACATTCGGCACTGAACACTGAGATTCCACATAAGATCAGCCACTGGGCGAGAGCCTCCGACCATTCCGCCCATCAGCCAATAAGCATTCGAATGAGCACGGACAACAGTAGCGCGCCACACATAAATGATACCGGAGAAAAAAAACAATCATGGTCTTGTCAGGGCTGTAGGGCTATAGGGCCACAGGGCTATAGGGCTGTAGGGCTCTAGGGCTATATGGGCTATTGGGCTATTGGGCTATGGTGCAATTGGGTTTTCATTGGGCTATTGGGCTATAGTGCAATTCGCCGGCCCAACGGGCCAGGGCGTGCTAAGATCTCCGGTAACTGGTTAACAGTATTAACAGTATTTCTAGTTCGCGCGCGCGGGGCGGCCCCTGGGGGTCCCCCGGCGAAAAGTACCCCGACCAACGCCCGGTCGCCGCCCGGTCGCCGCCCGGTCGCCGCCCGACCGCCGCCCGACCAAGTCTACTCAGAGATGGTTTTCCTTCTGGGTGCGGCCTCTCAGGCTCCCCAGAGC